AAAAATAACCCTTGTCTACCATCTCTGCTTTAAGTGTGTGTGTGTGTGTGTGTGTGTGCCTGTACATGTTATAATCCTATACAAATCCTATAATATAACATTTGTGAATGATTTGGTAATTCTGAACAATAAGTTATTTTCATCTCTTAGTCATAACTTTTAAATTTCCTGAGTGGGGCATAGATACAAGTGCTTTTCTCTCTATTGAGACTTGACATATAATTGAAGTCATAGAAATAATCACATTCTACTACCAAGACCTATATTTTGGAGTGGAAGCAAGAGAATTTGCATTGAATTTTCACATAAAAAATTATTAAAAGTTGAGCACAAAAACGCTGGTGTAATGAAGGTATAGGCAATGGCCTGCGGGTGGATAGCAAATGGGCGTTCATGAGAAAGTGGGAGAAAGGAGGGCAGGAGGGCACCGGTTCAACATATAATACACACATGGACAAAGGCTTGGAGGGATATACAAATAATAAATTCTCACAAGAATATTTAAAAATTTAATCCATTTCTTTAAAAAGCAAACAACTGGGGATATTCTTCAGGAACTATAGAGACCTGCAGCATTTCAGCAATGACTGCATCCCTCTGCCCTCCAAGCACCAACTTTTATTTAAGGAGACTGCAGACTTAAAACACAAGATTCCTTCTGCAAAGTAGAAGATAGAGAAATAAAAATTATGGGAAAATGCAGAAAATTTAACAGAACCTCAGAAAAATCTAGCAAATAAGCAAATGGGAATTTATACGGAGAGACTAGAGGAACTGGGAAATGTTTTTAATCAAAGGCTTAGATCTTCCCAGGCATGCTAACTCATCCAAGTTCAGAAAGTCCAAGTAGAATAAACATAAAACTCTACCCCCCAGAATCATACTACTGAAGGTTTTTAATAATACAGATGAAGAGAAAAATGTAGCAGTCCATAAGGAGAAAACAACACATTCAGTAAAAGGGGCCCCAAAGGGTGTTATTCAATTGATCAGCATTGGAGGCCAAAAGGAAGCTTGCACACAGGCTCAAAGCAGAACAAGGAAAATCAATTAAATATCACATTAAAAGAAGACAAAATGCATGAAATGCACAAAAATTCAATAAAAATATACATTGGAAATTTTTTTTAAGTTTAGCAAAAAGAAATCACATTAAAAAATCCTGTGAACCCAAACTTAATATCTAGCAAAAGCATTTTTTAAACTAAACAAAGTCATAGTCTAGGAAACAAAAATAAAAACCTTCAAAGACCTGCCTTACATAGAATATGTAATGAAGACTATAAGTCTCGCACAAGTAGATTATGCAACAGGAAATTCAATTAAAAATTAAATAGGAAAATTGAAGTACCTAATAAAGAAAATTCTATAAATTATTTTGAAAGATGGTGAAGTTGTGAATTTCTTCTTCATTCTCCCCTTATTAATTTTTTTTTTGTAAAATACACAATGCTATCTGAACATCATTGTGCTGTGGAGCCTACAACCCATAGAAATGCAATGTCCTTCATGATAACAGTAGAAATGAGCTTAGTGGGATTTGAGCCAGTTTTTACAACATGAGAAAGACACAAAAGGTAAGAAAATTCCAAGAAATAAATATAGGGCAAAAAACAATAAATAAGAAGAGTTTTATAGAAGATTATACTATTATGTAGTGCCGTCTCAATACCCATTAAATAAAATGGGTAGTAATTACAAAGTAGTAATTATTATAATGACTGTTAAGGCTGCAACATGCATAGCCATAACATGAGAAAAAATGGACAAAAGAAATGAAGAATAGTACTCTATGTGGGAATAATGCTTTACATCTTATTAGACATGTTAATATAAATAGAAAGTATATTCTTAAAACTTAAGTTGTATATTTAACCCCTAAATCAACCACATCAAAAGTCAACCAGGAAAATATTGAAATAACGTTAAATATTACAGTAAACTATATCCATGTAGTAAAGAAAAGGCAAGGAGAAAAGATTAAAAGATACATGAGACACGTATGAACCAAAAATTAATGAGGGATGTGAATAGAGCAACGATAAATGTAGCATTAATACAGACAGAGCTCGCAATCTAATGAAAATGCAGAGACCGTTGGACTGGATGAAAAGAAACAACTATATATTTTCTGTAGCAAACAATTCTTTTATTAAGTAGAGAGTAAATGAATGAAAAGGATGAAATTATGGTCAAAGAAAGCTAGGATGCATACAATGTGCACTCGAGGACAACAACATTACTAAGATGTTTGATAATTTTATGGTGGTGAAGGGGAATCAGTAAAATATAACAATTCAAACACACATGGATCATGCTCATGAAATGAAAGCTTTACAGATGTGGAGGGACAAGCAGGCCACCCAACCCTATATGATCTAGAGAAGACAATACCATCTTTCAATTCTGCATAAAACATGGAAGAAAATACAAAAGGAAATAAAAGATATGTACACTGCTGTATAAACCTACCAAACATATAGATATCAAAGAGCAAATCACAAAATAGCTGAAAATACACATTCATTTCAAGGGCAGATTGAACATTCCTTTAGACTATTCTAAATGTTAAGCCATGAAGCTAACTCCAATACAGTACTCGTAATCACAGGCAGTAAATTCTCCTAGCACAAGGGAATGAATTAAACAAGCAAAGATGCATTAATGCTCTCAAGTAAAGAAGGAGCATCAGAATCCATCTTTAATAAATTTTCATGTTGTTGCATGGCACATACTCTTACATACACGCAAAAAAATTGACAGGCAAACAGCTGGTATTGATGGATACTTACTAACACTGAGGCATGAGGATAATTTAGAAAGCATTTAACTTCCTCTCTATTCTCAGTGTTTCTTTAGATACAGATCATGGCTAACACCTGCCATCAACATGATTTTCATTAGACGAAAATTTCTTACTGATTCTCATAGACAATGACTACTGGGTAAGATTTCTTTGCTTCTTTTTATAGACAGTATAGTGATAATATGAAAATTTAAGCAGGAAAGAGTTAATTGCTTGTTTACTTTCTTTTGAAAATGTTTAATCTTGGAACTTAGTAATGGAATTTATATGTTTATTTCATATTAATAAAAGTGGAGCATTACCCAGTCAACAAGTCCTGTCTGAAAAAGAAAGTATTGATTATAGGTGAGTCGATGGGGCAGATGCCTTGGGAACTGTTTTCAGTGGAGAGGAAGTAATGCATTTGGTAGTGAAATTGAAGTGGCTTTAAGTAACCATAAGAACTTGACAACAGAACTGACTCTTCTGCATAGTTTACCTCTAGAGTGTGTGCACAAAGTACATTGAAGATAAAAATAGAGTAAGTAAAAACAGTGGAGGAAATGGAGTAAGGTGAACTTGATATGGCAGAGCGGTGAGGATCCCTAATAAGGAGCTCCTCCACTCTCTCCATGGCTCTGCAGATTCTCCTGAGATGTTTTTATTTAGTGTCTTAGAATTTACCTGAGTCCACGGTTAGTATGAATAAGGAAACGTTTGGTTCACGTCGAGGAAAGTCAAGGAAAGTGTTCACAGATTAAATCTAAGACATGGAGAAATTGACAAAGCTGCATCCTCTATTTTTCAAGAGTGAATCAGATATACCTCCTTCCCACTATATAAGCTCTATTTTGCAAACTGCAATGACTGATCATTATTACCTTTACAGTGATTTTCATCCCAGGGATACACACAGTTCTGGAGCCCATTGCAGACCAGCGTGTTGTTAATACACATGTTACTGTGACAGAAGAACGTATTGCCTTCACACGGAGCTACAAAAAAGCATGACAAAGGAAAATTTTGTGGTGGATGCTCATCAGGATATTATAGTTGCTGCAAATATAAATGTAACAAGAATTAGATTGTTCAATTTCTACTAAACTGACATAAACAAGGTATATCACATGGTTCTTAGAAAGGCTGCCACAGTGCGGTCATTGCTGCTGGTGACTAGCTCAGTTCAGAACAGCATGGTGTCTCTACCCGCAGTGCATTCAATCCACATTCTTAAGCTTGTTGTTTTCATCTAGCAAAGCCTGTGAACTTCCTGGGGCATATGTTATGTTCTACACTGAAACTCTGCACATATAAATTTATACTTACTGTGCCAAAGCATTAATCAAAATGGTAAAATAATTTTGAAATATATGCTAAGTATTATTGAAGGAAAATATATACTAAAATAGCTCTATAACAAAAGTTCTGCACATGTAAAAGAAACATATTGGAAATCCAGAAACAACAGAAAAGTAATCCTAATTAACATGAGAAAGTGTATAATCTGAAGTTTATATATATATATATATATGTTGAAACAGATCCTAATACACATGTGTTTTACACATTCTAGTAACAATGTGTAAAGACTATGATCACCAGACTACATGTAATTTTAGGTACTGGGAGGTAAAATTAGAGCTTTAAAATGCTCTGAAATCTGACTGGAGAATTTTTATTTGAATTTTTAAATTTCATTCAATATTTCCCACTGGAGTCCAGACCCCTTCCCCTATCCATGCCTCCCCCTATTCACCTGCCCTACTGAACCCTATGTACTCTGTCATACAAGCTGAGTACTGTTCATGCAGGTGTTTGTACCCAAGTGTCCTTCAGTGTAAATGCATCCACTGGAGTCTAGTCAGCCCATCCAGTGGTTGTAGGTTAAGTCATACTCTCCCTCACCAAGCAGCAATCAGTCTCAAATAGTTCTCAATCTAGGGTTGGCCTGAGAGCTAATTTTTTACCTCCGCTTTGAGCCCTTCCTTCACTGAGCCGACACAGGTCCCACACAAGATGCCTGCTGCCACAGGCTCACATGAGCAAGCCTCCAATGACCTGGAAGCTTCTACTTCCCTGTAATCATGAACTGGCCCTGGCTTTTACAATCTTTCCACCTCCTCTTCCACAATGGTCCCTGAGCCGTGGGTGAGTGAGGCTCCATATAGGAGTCCCATCCTACACTCTACAGTCTCTCTTTCTCCAAAACTTGGTCAGATGTGGCTGTCTGCATCCATCGCACTCTGATATACAAGAGATCCTTGCTTGTGAGAGTTCAGGGATGCATTAGACCTCTCTTTACCCCTTATTGCACTATGTTCCATGGGCCTTAGTTGTAGAGATTTGACTGCAGATGTGTCACCTAGTACTGGGCATCTCCCAGAGGTATGTTCTCTGTGCCTGACCAGATGTGCAACTCTGATGCAAAAAGGAGGTTCTTTGATGAGTGTTGTATGGCATGTTTGTCACTCTAAGGGAAGTCTCTTCTATCCGGCACTGCATTACCTGTCAAACAGCTTCCAGGTATGCATATACATTAATGTTCAAACACTCTATGTACATTTCTCATAGGGCATCCAGGGCATCACTTTTCCCTCTAGGTTTCCCAGCCCCCAGAGATTCACTCATCTCCATTCTTTTTTCTTCCGTTCAACTTCTCTCTTCCCTCCCTCCCTACTCACAGTGCCTCCACTATCCCTCCCCTCCGACCAATACTTCCCAACTCCACTCCCCGCATTTTTCTTCTCCTGAGTTCCCTCCCTCCCCTACCCAATGGTCCCCTGCATGTCCCTTCCTCCTCTCCTCTCTGCCGATTATTCCCAGTTTTTCCAACTCCCTCAGGTAACATCTGTTCCCTACTGTCCTCCTTTCAGGTTGTTCTTTTCCTTTATAGTCCAGGTATCCTTTCCCTTTCCCTGGCTCCTGGTGTAACATCAAAATTTATATAGTCCCATATAAGGGATTGGAGCTACAATCCACAAATGAGGGAGAACATGCATCGCTTTTCTTTTCTGTGTTTTGTTACTTCACTTGGTATAGAATTCTCTAGCTCGAACCATTTACCTGGAAATTTCATAATTTCATCTTTTCTTACTGCTGAGTAGAACTCCATTTAGTAGATGTACCACATTTTCATTAACCATTCTTCAGTTAAGGGACATTTAAGTTGTTTCCATTTCCTAGCTATTGTGAAAAGAGCAGCAACAAGCATTGATGTACAGGTATGATGACTCTTTTGGCTTTATACCAAGGAGTGGTATCACTAGATCATATGAGAAGTTCATTTTCAGGTTTTTGAGGGTTCTCCACACTGCTTTCCATAATGGTTGCAGGAGTTTGTATTCCCACCAGCAGTGAATGAGCGTTCCTCTTTTTCTACATCCTTTCCAGCATTTGGAGTCTTTCTCGGGATCTTTGCCAATCTAATTGGGGTAAGATGGAATCTTAGACTGGTTTTTATCTGAAATTCTCTAATTACTAAGAATGTTGAGCACTTTTTAAGGTGCTTCTTCACCAAACAAATGGCGCTGGCAAAACTGGATATCCACTTGCAGAAGAATGATCATTAACCCTTATCTTTCACCCTGCACAAAAGTCAACTCCAAATGGATCAAAGACGTCAATATAAATTCTGAAACTCAGAAACTGCTAGAAGAAAACATAGGTAGCACTCTCGAAGATATTGGCATAGAAAAGGACTTTCTAAACCAAACAGCAGCTTCTTAGACACTAAGGCCAACAAGCAATAAATGAGACCTCATTACATTACAAACTTTCTGTACAGCAAAAGAAACAACCAAGGAAAGAAAGAAGAATGGGAGAAAGTCGTCACCAGCTATACATCCAACAGAGGATTAATATTCAAATATATACAAAGAACTCAAAAAAGAAAGAAATAAGAAAATAAACGACCCAATAAAAAGATGGGCTATAGATCTAAACAGTTCTCAAACTGACTGGAGAATTGTGAGAACAGGTGACGAATAATTATAGCAAAGATAATGTTCATTGTGACATCAATAGCAAAAACTTACTTTCACATCATTATTAGAACAACAGACTTCAAAGAATTATTAAATAGTTATAGTATTGCATTGTGGATAATGGCTTGCAGAAATGATTTATTTTATTTTTATTTATTTACTTTTAATGTGCAGGAGTGTATTGCCTGCATTCAAGTGCACCCTTTCATGCAATGCCTCTGGAGGTCAGAAGAGGGCATCAGATCCCATGAAACTGGAGTTATGAATAGTTGTTAGCTGTCAGGTGGGTGCTGGGAATCAAACCCAGGTCCTTTGCAAGAGTAGTCAGTGCTCTTAACTGCTAAGCCATCTCTCCAGCCCTGCAGAAATATCTTAAAATGAACTTCACCAACCCTGGGCTCAGGGACCACTGCAGAAGAGGGTGCTGAGAGATTGTAAGAGTCACGGGAGTAAGTTCATGACCATATAGAAACAGAGTCTGTCTTACAGGCTCCTGAGACTTTACTTATATGAACCTACAATAATAGTGTCAGCATGCACAAGAGACCCATGCAAACTCAATCTGACAAAAACCCAGCATAGAACTGTGGAAATGGGTAGCTGGTCCTAAACTTAGCCAAAGAACTCTTGGCAGCTCAGAACTCAGGGGATTAACTTGCATTGAGGGGTGTCTGGTATACTAACTTGATTCTATAGGCCTTAAGGTAAATGACAGAATGCATGAAAGCTGGTGGTGGGGGGGTCTATGGGAGGGTATAGATGGGGGAGGGGATATAAAGATGAGTAAGATATTTGTATAAAATACACAAAAATCAAATAAAATTATATTGTTTGCTTTCTTCATTAATCCTTTCAGATAGTCTTTCTAGGAAACTCTATTATAAACATATACTCTTCATTAATATTTAATCAATCAATAAAACTTATTCATGATCAATATTATCAAAACACTGTGATTATAATAAACTTTAAGAATTTTCATAACTAACTATTTTATAATAAATATTTCTTCACTTTATATTTATTCTATTAAGAATGGTGGGGCCCAGGCATGGTGGCTCATGTCTTTAATCTCAGCACTCGGGAAGCAGAGGCAGGTAGATCTTTGTGAATTCGAGGCCAGCCTGGTCTACATAGTAAGTTCCAGGATGGCTGGGGCTACAAGGAGACCCTCTCTCAAAAAGAAAAAAAAAAAAACAAAAAAACAAAAAAAACGAAGTTGGGAAAATATTTTGTTTAAGACAACAGTGTATTTTCACACTCCTAGAAAAATTCTTATAAGGCATCTGCATCATGAAAATCAAAAGTAAGGCTAAGGGCTGGAGACATGGCTTAGCAGTTAAGAGCACTTGCTGCTCTTGCAGAGGAACATAGTTTGGGTCCCAGCACCCACATGGCTGTTCACAACTGTCTTTAAGTCCAGTTTCAGGGGATTTGGTGCCTCTGCCTGCATGCATGTGATACACATAAACTCATGCAAGCACACACATATACACAAAAATAAAATAAATACATGTTTTTTAATGAAGGCTAAGATACAGCTGATTCAGGCAATGTGGCTACTTCTGCAGCCTGTCCTAGCCTTCTCAATAAACAGTGTGTTCTTCTCACAGTTCATTTTGGCTCTAGATTCCTTGGTTAAGGAGTAAAACATATTTAAATATCAGTTGGACATACAGAAAGTAAAGAACATGGAGTACTCATTTTGAAAGTGTCAGGATTAATGCTTTACTAAATTAGTAAGTTGTTAAGTGGTGTGTAAACCTGTCATAATGTAAAATTTAATGATGTGATATATTGTTGTAAAAATCTGTTTTTAATATAGAACTAAATTTGAATTCTCATAGCCATAATGGCTTTTGCATAACTGACATAGTCTGTTACACAGATAATGAATGTTGTCAAAATCATACACAGAATATAAAGGAGTTTTCTGGAAAGAGATTAAAATAGCTGCTAAATGCTTGCTATGAATCATTGCTTACTAAATTTCAGTATCTTTGAAATTACAG